ATTTAAAACTCACAGTCTCACCTGTAGTGAAAAAGGATCCTCTCTATTTCACAGATGAGAAAACTGTGGTTCAGAAAAGTCAAAGAACTTCTTTAAAGACTATATAGTGTGAATCTTCAGAATTTCCAATAATATATTTTTAAGTACCTATTTTCCAATAATCCATACATAATATGTTCACAAATCATAAATTGTGTTTGGTACCTTTTGGTGTTTTGTTTTTGAGATAGCACCTTGCTATTGCCCAGGCTGGAGAGAAGCCTCACTGCGATCAAGGCTCACTTCAGCCTCAAACTCCCAGGCTCAAGCAATCCTCCCACCTCAGCCTCCACTGTAGCTGGGACTACAGGTGTATGTCACCAAGCCTTGCTAACTTTTAATTTTTTTATAGAGACAGGGACTCACTATGTTGCCCAGGCTACTCTTGAATTCCTGGGCTCAACTGACCCTCCCACCTTGGCCTCTCAAAGTGCTGGGATTATAGCCGTGGGATTATACCCGTGAGCCAAGGCACCTGGCTTTGATGAGTGTTTTTAAATCTCAAATATTTAATATACTAAACAAGGAATTCAGTCTAACAGGTTAATACACCACTTACACTGATCTTAGAGGTTACGAATAATTTACATTGAATGCTGTGGACACCGACCTCTTGATCTATAGATATTGAGTAGGGAGGTGATAACTACAGTCTTAACACTGGCTGACACAGCTTGTCATGGTCCCTTGCTGAAAGAGGCATATTACAATCTATTCAAAGAAACCTGCAAAAGTAGAGGGAGAAACACAATAAAGCAATGTAAACTAGAGGCAAAATGTCTAATACTGAATTCCACAGCACTACAAGAGCAGTTGTGACAGTTGTGGATTCAGTGCTTAATTGTTTTTGGCAACCAGACACTACAAGAGTACCGAAAACAAATCCACAGAAAGTAAAAAACCTAACTTGATGGAAGAATTTCAAACGTAATCTCTAATAAACCAGACATGTTTACAAGGACCGAAACCAGCTGACTTTCTTAAAACCCTTGTTACTTATCATCTCAGACAGCTGCTAATGTTAATGTAAATGGTTTCAAGTCACAGTAAGAAGCAACAGTGAAAATACATTGGATAATTAGTGCCTGAAATAATTAGGACTCACTTCCTGGCTACTATACATTTCTACTTACTTCTTGCAAAAGGAAAACTGAAGACAGTCTATTTGGTGGCCATTTGTGGTTACTGATGTTGTTTGCTTTATGGCGGGTGGACCACCGCAAACAAGTTCTCTGCCGAACTACCAAAACGAAAACCAAAGTCTTCCGGAGAGAGATCACACATTAGCCTCTCCTGATCCAGTGAAATTGAAGTGACAGCACCAGGCAAGCAAAGCAAACCCGCCAATGAAAGGAAACAGCCCAATTCTCACTGGGTCTGGAGGGGCTGGCAGGAATTACATACAGCTCTCTCACCTTTTCAGCAGAAACAAGACATGAAATTGCTCCTTTCCAGGCTAATCACAAAGTGAACGGCGGTATGCTCCTTGAGTGACTCACCTGATGACTGTGAACGCCTTTTTGTGCATGTGCATGCCACGTACACACGCACGTTCCAGCACAAATCCCAACCCTGTCTGACCTGGCCATTGGTAGTGATGATGCCTTTTCCACCCAGGAATTCTCACATTCGCTCAATCTGGGTGAGAGGCTCTTCAACATTTTTCACCTACCGGAACCTAAAGGACGCTGCTGGTGGGCACTGAGGGAGAATGAATACCAGCTGGCCACACTCTGGTTGTGCCATATCCTCTGGTTTCACCTTGTTTCTCACCTGTATACATGAGGATTAGTAGCACTTCACTATTGTGCTTATTATAAGGACTAGAAATAACATGTCACTTGGTGCAGGTGCTTAGTAAATGGCAGCAGTTGTTAATGAAAATTATATTGATTTTGTTTGTTTTTAACAGTAGTCTTAGTGTACCTAGGTAAGGTTCTAGGATACTTTTTTTTTTTTTTTTTTTTTTTGAGACAGAGTCTCACTCTGTCACCAGGCTGGAGTGCAGTGGTGCAATCTTAGCTTTCTGCAACCTCTGCCTCCTGGGTTCAAGCAATTCTCCTGCCTCAGCCTCACAAGTGGCTGGGATTACAGACACATGCTACCACACCTGGCCAATTTTTGTATTTTTATGAGGTTTCATTGCATTCCTGACCTCGTGATACGCCTTCCTTGGCCTTCCAAAGTGCTGGGATTATAGGTGTCAGCCACTGCGCCCAGTATTTTTCATACCATATTCAATCACCTCTTTGTTGAGTTATTAAAAGAAAAAAACCCACTCCATTTAAACTTCTAGCCTACTGGCCTGAAAATGGAAATCTATGTTCATGTTATAATATGGACATTTCCCTCATCAGAAATGAAAAATTAAAGACTACAGGTTTTCCAATAGGCCATTCCGGCTCTTAGATTCTGATATTTTATGAGCAAGAACCTCTTGTTTCTGTTGTTTTCTGCATGTTGCCTGGTTGTTAGGTATGCTGCTTTGTATATTATCCCATGTTGCCTATGCTCTGAATTACCATTACGCATTGTAATTACAGAAGCTGAGCTGGAACATCAAGTACTGGTAGCACGAGTTCTTTTTAAAACTTGAAAGTGCAGCTTCCTTATGAGATTTAAAATAGATTTACCAGCAAGGCTGCTGGTGACAAACAAGATGAGAAGGCTGGATTCTGATAGAGCGGTTGTGTGCCAAAGGCTTTTGACTGGCGGCCACCAGCTTGGGGTCTACCGACTGGCTGCTACTATAGTCCATCTTAGCACCCAGAAACAAAAGAAAATGGAGCCAAATATGACTACCAGCTGGTTCAATGCCCTCAATATACAGATGAAGGAGGCACAGTGCAGAGTCAGCTTGCCAACGCTGAGTCGGCAGCTACAAGGACCTTTTCGCTAAGACACTGCCTAAGTATCTCTGAAGCAGTAAGGTACTACACTTTGGGATAATCCTCAAACGGGTGCAACTGAAATCCGGGCCCCAGCACTAGCCTGTTCCCATAGTTCTTTTTCTCTCTAGGACTGAGGAGTTCAGTGCCAAAGCCCAGCTCTTTAACACCGAGGGATACAACCTTTGCTTCAGGGTCCATGTAAAGGTAGATCCAGGTCTGGAGTCTTCGTTCCCTTTGATTCAGTCACCCTGGGTTCCCCAGCCATGGCCCAGCCCTGTGGAAAGACCTGCTAAGGTACCTGGGCTGCAGTGTCTTTGTTACCATGGCTACTGCCCTCTGTTCACAAGTGTGACATCACTACCTTTTAACTTGTGCTGGAGGCAGGGGCTGTAGGAACAGAAACCAGTGTGGGCCAGGGGCTGCATTCCGTCATCTTTCCACTGTCACTAGTAAAGGTTCTAGTCATAGCTACTTTTTTTTTTTTTTTTAATTGAGACAGAGTCTCACTTTGTCATTCAGGCTGGAGTGCTGTCCTGTGACCTCTGTTCACTGCAACCTCTGCCTCCTGGGTCTAAGACATTCTTCTGCCTCAGCCTCCTGAGTAGCTGGAATTACAGGTGTGCGCCACCATGCCTGGCTAATTTTTGTATTTTTAGTAGAGATGGGGTTTCATCATGTTGGCCTGGCTGGTCTCGAACTCTGGATCTCAGGTGATCCGCCCGCCTCGGCCTCCCAAAGGGCTGGGATTACGGGCTTAGTCATAGCCACTTAATAACAGCAGGGCTTTGGGCAAATTTCAGTAAAGGGACATTTGAACTCTAATGTCTCCAAGGTGCCTTCTAATTTATCTCTGCGACTGTCCCACAGTTCCTCACGGTGGGTAAAAGTTCGACTCTCCACGGTTAAACACGATGCATAATATATCACATTTTGACTTAAAGGAAGAAGCTTTATAATGCTGTACAACCTTGACTGGCTAACCCAAAGCAACGTAAGTGAGAACATTACAGCAAACCCCACATCCCAGCCACTCAGACGGCTAGCAGCCCTAACCATGCGGAACACAGCTGTGAACCAGAAGCAGGCAACTGCCAGAAAGCTCCATCACTTAGCTCCTTAGGAGATAGATGGCATTAGCCCCGATTCCTTTTTCAGAGTGATTAAGATGAAACGAGGGAAAGAGATTTAAAATGTAGGTTTTCGTGTAGCAGAAACTCTTCTGGGGATTGTCCATTGGTTACAGAATTGTGGAACAGCGTGAGCACAAGGAATGAAAAAGCGACCGCTTCAGAACAACTGTCTTTTCACTCCCCAACTCCAGCCCCTCGACTTCACACAGCACATGACTAGGAAAGCAGATTCACCAGGCTTGGGTTTTCAGACAAGTACTTCTCACATCTAAAAGAAGAAATGCACTGATTCCCGAAGGGCTAGTCCTCTCCCGGGCTACTCTTTCCTGGAGTGAGGTGATTCACACATTTTGGTCGGAGATGCATTTATTAAAAACCCAGCAGTCTCCCGTTGCCCCAACTCCCTTCCTTGCAATTGCATCCTCCCTCCCTCCCTGCCTCAGCCTAGAAACTGCAGCCAGGTCTCCAGGAACACAGAGGGACCCCAGCCAGTGGCTGAGACTTGCACTGAGGTTTCCTTTCCAAAGTGTGGCCTTTAAATCCACAATGAATTGTACTGACATTTCATCATAAACACTGGCCATATTGTTTATTCCAGCCGTCTCCATGAAAGAAAACAAAACTCCCTTAAAAATGGAATGTATATTTAGGAAAATCTCTTTTACATTTGTGTCTGTAATGTATTGAATGTATGAGATTATACAATTCCAAGAAGCCTTTTAAAAGACTTCTGTTTGTCTTCTGTGTCAATGAGTGAAAAAAAAAATGAATTAATTGCTTCTTGGAATCCTTAAGAATATATATTCTCTCTCCTACCTTAGAAAAACAAGACAAGGTAAGATCTTTAAACGATCTGTATGAGAACAACTAACATCAGGGGTGCTGGCTCCAAAGCTCCTGTTGATATTTTACTACGACATTTTACAACTGTAAAGCCTACCTCCGCCTCTCTCCTTCTCATCCTCTTCTTCCTTCAGCAGCTTGCCAATGGAATTATACCACTTGAACTGTGGGGCAGGGACGCCATGCACACTACAATTAATCAAGGCACTGTTCCCTTCCTTGACTATGATATGGTCAGTTCTGGCAATGATTACAGGCACAGAGCCCAAGACCACGTTAGTGCCATTTAAAGTGCTGTTAGTCACACTCTTCGCAGTGGCTAGAGTGGATACGAGGATTAAGAAGGGCACAGAAGGTAGAAAGCACACAGTCAGATGGCTCTTCAATTGATACATCTTCTTTGCTTGCTCTGTAAGGCAATAGAGAGATGGTTTGCCAACCAAATCTTCTATCAGACAACACACCGTTCACAGCAGCTCATGGGACAAACCTGTCCTGGATCCATAGAGTTGGTACTTGATCAAGAACCTGTTTTTAAAAAAAACAAAAATATATATACATAAACATTAGCATTCAGCCACTAAAAACAGTATTTACAGAATGTTAGTAATGCAGCTAAAATACAAACACCTACATACTTTTATTTGAGACAGAGTCTCGCTCTGTCACCTAGGATGGAGTGCAGTGGGGTGATCTTGCCTCACTGCAACCTCTACCTCCTAGGTTTAAGTGATTCTCCTGCCTGAGCCTCCAAAGCATCTGGGATTACAGGCACCCACCAACATGTATGGCTAATTTTTGTATTTTTAGTAGATACGGGGTTTCACCACGTTGGCCAGGCTAGTCTTGAACTCCTGACCTCATGTAATCTGCCTGCCTCAGCCTCCCAGTGCTAGGATTACAGGTGTGAGCCACTGTGCCCAGCCAAACCTACATACTTTTTAAACAAAACACAACCATAAGATGTTCCGGATGTGAATTACATTTTTCATAGAAATCATAATTTTTTTTTTTGCTATCCAAACATATAGCTCGTATAGGAACAAATATGTTAAATGTATATATTACTTCATAGAGCTCAAAAATGGATTCAGGCTTCTTTCATTTCCCATGACAAGCTCTCTTTACTCCACAGCCCCTGTCTTCATTGCGGAGGAGCTAACTGTCCACCTGGGTGTTCTGTCACCTCTTCTCTCCCAGTAAACATGACTTCCATTTTCGTCAGTGGTCACAGCGTGGGCTCTGCTGGCATTTGGAAGGACTCCATCACAATCACTCTGCCATTCTCCTAGCTCCCCATTACAGCTTCCAGAATGCTCCTTACTCCCTCATTCAACTGCCCGTGCTCCTCTGAGCACCACCTCATCTAGTGCTCTCTGCTCTGCGTGACTGTTACCTATGGCCTCCAGATCACTCACGCGCGGCCTGGTTTCAATCTCATCTGCCTCCCACAGGCTGGGGAGCACCAGTGTGTAGGGGCTGACACGATGGCTGGCTGCACTTCTATGCTGAAAGATTTAACCTTGTCCTCTATCCTCCATCTCATTCTCATCCTGCAGCCTTCTTCAAAGGCAGAAGTTACTCTTTCAATTCTGTCTACAATAACACTGAAGGGTTACCTGGTGATGATAAATTAGCTTCAGATCGTACATTTTTTTTTCAGTAGGAAAGAAAAGAGTTTTGTTTTGCCAAAGATTTCCATACACCCCCTAGGAAGCCAACACATTACGCCACCAGCCGAAAGAAACCCGGTGGCGAAGGGAGATAGCACACAGACTGCAAAGGCATGATAGACACCCTGCCATGACTTTGCAAATGTCTTTCTTTACTTGGCTAAACTTGTGGTTTCCTTTGTGGTTGTAAAGCTGACCTATTCAATACAGAAGAGCTGTGAAGAGCACGGTCTCAGGTTAGAGAGAGACAAAGCCAGGATTCTGGATGTAACCACCTTCACTGGCTGTGTGTCTCATACAAGACAGTTACAAGGATTCACAATCAAATGTCTGTCACACTTACGTCCTGCTTGCCTTGATAAACAAGAATTATTGGCTTCCTTTATTGAAATTACGCTTCTCGAATCTGTTTTTAAGTTATGTCTTCCAAAAGCCAGACCTTGAGTTTTATTTAAAACGTTATAGGCCGGGCGCAGTGGCTCACGTCTGTAATCCCAGCACTTTGGGAGGCCGAGGCGGGTGGATCACAAGATCAGGAGATCAAGACCATCTTGGCCAACATAGTGAAACCCCATCTCTACTAAAATACAAAAATCAGCCGGGCGTGGTGGAGCTCGCCTGTAATCCCAGCTACTCAGGAGGCTGAGCAGGAGAAACGCTTGAATCCAGGAGGCGGAGATTGCAGTGAACCAAGACTGTGCCATTGTACGCCAGCCTGGTGAAAGAGCGAGACTCTGTCTCAAAAAAAAAAGAAAAAAACAAAACGGAACAAAACGTTATTATAAATTACAATTATAAATGACTTTCAGCACTGGGTCCTTTGGCAGGGGCTCAAGTCTGAGAAAGCATAAGCTGCTTCCTTAGGTGTATTCTGTGGTGAGCATGTGGTGGGCAGGAGCTGGGTCACTCATCACTGACTCCCTGGTGCCAGGACCATAGCAGATGCCTGGCTAAATATCACAGGGGAGGATCAGAGATGAGGCAGGCTGGGAGATGGGTTCTAATAAATATGGGTGGTAAATATAACTTTCTTCTCCAGTTAGAGAGAATGCAACAAATGGAAAATCAAACTGAATTTTAAAGCACGTATCTCGAGACCTATTTTCAAACAGAGGCTCTCCACATTTGGCTTTCTGCTTTCTTTCTTTTTTTTCTTGAGACAGAGTCTTGCTCTGTCACCCAGGCTGTAGTGCAGTGGCACGATCTTGGCTCATGGCATCCTCTGCCGCCCAGGTTCAAGCAATTCCCCTGCCTCAGCCTCCTGAGTAGCTGGGACTACAAGCACACGCCACCGTGCCCGGCTAATTTTTCTGTATTTTTCATAGAGATGGAGTTTCACCATGTTGGCCAGTATGGTCTTGATTTCCTGACCTTGTGATCTGCCTGCCTCGGCCTCCCAAAGTGTTGGGATTACAGGCATGCGCCACCACATCTGGCCAGCTTACCACTTTCAAATGCATTGTGCTAGCAAGAGTAAAGAGAAGGAGATACTGCTGTGCTATTATATTTTAATAATGTCAGCAGGTGCTTTGGGCTAGAAACACAGCAACTGTTCTGAAATGGAATCTAGTTACCTTAGGGACCTTATGAGATACAGAAGCAGTGACTTTCACTTTATGCAGGAATTTCAGTTAGCAAACAGGTTTCCTTCTCTTTCTCATTTCCACTCCCATCCTCCCCCATCCGGAAAAGTTACTAAGGTACAGAAGACATAATGCATCATTTAAAGGTTGTTTGTATCAAAGTGTTAAGACTGTGAAACTGTATTCAAAGCATTGAATTCACACTACTGAATTAATAGTTTTAGTAAGAATTTACTCTCAATTTACTCTTTTGCTTCAGATTTTAAAAGATGTATTTATTATGCACTGGGCACTCTGCCAGGATTTAGGGGATGGGAAGTGCCACAAAGCTCGATAAACCACAGACCATGTCCACTCACAGCCTAGGTGGAGAAAAGACATACAGATAACTTCAACACGTTCTCCTGGTGCTGTGGGCTTTGTTGATTGTCATCCAGCATGCAGCTGAGTTCTACCTTTCCTTTCTTCCAGTCCCATGGCTCACGCAAGTCCTAGTCCTTCGCCCTACCCCATGGCACCCGCAACTCCTACCAAGCTTGCATTCCTCCCTGGTGCATAATCGTGCACTATTCTGTTTTGTGTTGAGGAAATTCCTTCTCGATTACAAGGAGAGCTCCTGGACAGCAAAAACTTGCACGCGTTGTTTAGTAGGATTTCCTTATTGCAGGGCACCCATAATCATCTTTACATACTTGCTGTATGAAGCCATGCTTATGTGGAATCCAATGGCAATTATTTAAGAACAAATGACAATGTGTTGCCTGAAGAACGTAAGATATCATGTGACTTTGGACGCTGGCAAAATATTCTGCAAATGTACTTTTTCAGCTTGTTGGATTAGGATCTTACAGACAGAACCAAGAAAAGTTTAGTTGACTGGGCGTGGTGGCTCACACCTGTAATTCCAGCACTTTGGGAGGCTAAGGCTGGCAGATCACGAGGTCAGGAGTTCGAGACCAGCCTGGCTAATATTGTGAAACCCCATCTCTACTAAAAATTCAAAAATCAGCCATGCGTGGGGTTGCACACCTGTAGTCCCAGCTACTTGGGAGGCTGAGGCAGGAGAATCGCTTGAACCTGGGAGGTGGAGGTTGCAGTGAGCTGAGATTGTGCCACTGCAGTCCTGCCTGGGTGACAAGAGTGAGATGCTGTCTCAAAAAATTAAAAAAAAAAGTTTAGTTGATAACAATCTAACACTGTGAAAGACATTTGAGCCAGCAAAGAGTAAACTGTAAGTACTATAATCCAGCAGCTTAAAGTGCAGTCCTTCAAAATACAGGAACAAAGACAAGAGCTTTCAAAACCAGGGTTTAACAAAAGCTACAATGGACTGGTTGTTAAACCTCATAATCTTTGGGAAAACTCTGAGAGACGGCTTTATTTTCTATAAATAGAACAAAAGAGGAATATTTAGCAAACATCAAATGTTTCTTATTTTGACCTCTTCCCTACCTCCCAGTCATTGTATTTTATCTAAAAATGTTTAATAAACTACTTTGTTGAGTCCTATTTCTTCTTTCTCCACCAATAATCAACAAGACTGTTGCCCATGTATTTCTGGAATTGGAATAGTACAAAGGGGTACAAGCACAAATAGCACAATAGCACAAAGGGGCATTTTGTACTAAGTGAATTTTATGGTTTTTGCTTGACAGACTCAGTGTGGGCATTGCCCCATCTACTCTGACGAATAATTTGTGGAGTGATACAACTGGATTTTGCTGCAACACCTACTGAAAGTTACCCCTATTTGCATTTGCGTGGGAATGATGCCACGGGCACATAAGCTGCCATCTGCATTAAAACACATTCTTCATAGGGTTATACTCATGAAGCATTTTTCATATGAATTGGAAAGTGGCAGTAAAATACTCAATCAGACATAAATGCTAACTTTTCAAAACTGGTAATCAACTCAAGCCATGTTAGTTATGAATATACTTCTGCCACTTCCTTTCCCATATATCATAATTAATTCAAAATATCCATGTCATTTTAAGATAAAAATTAAAAATATTTTTTTGCAATTTTTTTTTTAAAATAATGAGAACAAAATTCTCATTGGCCCATTCTATCCCACCTAACATCTTTCAGGATCAGCAAGGAGTCTCTTGAACAACATGGGTTTGAACGGCTCAGTCCACTTACATGCAGGTTTTTTTCAACAGAATTTACACTGAGTGTACCTGTTTCTCCTGCCTCCCCTCCCACCTCTCTTCCCCCTCTTCCACATCCACCACCCACAAGACAGCAAGACCAGCTCCTCCTCCTC